AAGTTTGGACAGGTACAAAACCTTAATAACTCTCCCAAGAGAAGATCAGCGCATTTTTTAATCGCTGTTTGTAATTACGTTAGTCTCTGATTTCTCTTTAGCAGAACATAACCATCAATGCTCCTCTGGAAGGTATTAGAATAATTTCTTTCCTGAAAAGATTAGTCTGTTTTATGAAAATTTTAAAAATTTTCCTCATATGGAATTAAAATAAACAAATTTCTGAGTGGAGGTCATTAAGAAATAGACACAATTATGGCACTGGCTCAGGAGAAACCTGTGTTCAGACTCTTGCTCTGAATCAGATGAGAGTCTTTGAGACTGCATCATCTTTTCATCAGGCAGAATAGGAAATTAATTTTCCTATTCAGGCAGAATAGGAAAGTAATTCGAGCTTACTGCTGTACCTAATAGTTACAGGGAATGAACATTTCTGTTTCTCTCAAGCAATCAGACAGATCTTTCTAATGGAAATTTAATGGAAATTAAAATTTATCCTTTAATTATAATTATTTTCCCCCTTGAGAAAACATACTTTCATAAAATTTGACATTGAAAAATATTCTGTCCAGTTTTAGTTTATCTGGTATTCTGTGTTTATTTAAATGCGTATATATACACATGCAATTGCAACATTCTTCTTAATGTTTTTTAACAGTAAAATTTGGAAGGGTCCAAATAAGATGAGGCATGGACAAACACGTGCATGCCTGCATGGGTTGTTTTTAATTTAGTTCGTGATTAACGAGGATATGTTGGAGAAGCAGTATCTTTTTTTTCACTCTGGACTGAATCTGTTCCCTGCTGCCTGTAAATGCTATTAGAACCATCTCCATAGCAACTAATGGCGATGCTCAAGAAAAGTGTTCCCAAAGTTTCAGATAAAGAAGTAGATCATTAGAATGCCTTAGAAAGAAGGATGTATGTTTATGTAGATGGAGCTGGTAAGTGGAAGGAGACACAAACAGTGAAATAATCAGGGCACTGATGCCAGCAAGTGTAAAGGCGTGATGTGATTAGTTTTTACAGCTGCCTTGGAGTTATTGCACTCTTGAATTGATGGGAGAATGCTTTTTATCTTCAGAGAATTTAGGTGCTATGATAGGATTTCTTTTTGCAGGACTGTCTAAACTAGTCAACTGTTTGTTTCCTCATCTGTGTGTTATTAAATATTATTATAATTAGTATCACAAACATGAATATTTACCTCATTTTGACAGGTGAAATAAAGTTACCTCAAAAGTCAAGGTCTATTTTGTCTGTTTAGGTATAGAACTCTGATTAGGATGGTTTTGAACATCTTACATGAATTGTTGTTCATGTCAAAAACTGCTCGCCAGTGTCTCTAATATTGACGGTCCCATCACCAAATTACTCTGTATCTTACATATAACTTTACAGCTAAACCAGACTTCCAGACAGTTTAAAAACTGCTCGCCAGTGTCTCTAATATTGACAGTCCCATCACCAAATTACTTTGTATCTTACATATAGCTAAACCAGACTTCCAGACAGTTCGTGAGCACCTGCTGGGTAAAAATCATGCCATGAGCATGAAACTGGTAGACCTAGCTTTGTTTTCTACTGCACAGACCTTGGTAGAATAGAACAATTCAGTTCTCACTGACGAGCTGGACAGGGCGCTGGGCCGTGTTATCTAGACAGTGCTTTTCCCAAGAAAGGCCGGACCAGATGATCCTTGAGATCCCTTCCAACCTGGTATTCCATGATTCTATAGTAAAAGTTAAGGGTCTCTTGCATCTTAGCGGATTTAAATAATAGCCAAAATTCAAGTATTTAGTGCATTCATCGTACATAAAATGAAAAGACATAAGTAATCAGAAAGGAGCAGTGCTACTTCTGGAGAGGGCAGTCTTTCAAAAGAGAAAAGATTACCTCTGTGGAAGAGGCGGCGATGTCACTATTTAGTGATAAAGAAGCATTCTGCCTTAATTTGAAAGGACCTGCCTAATGAGCCGTGCTTGGTTCCTTTAGACAAATTTATTACTCTCACTTAACATGGACATCATTATTAATTAGGCAAGCAGGAGTCATACCATCCTGTCAGCAGAGCTGCTGGATTACCCTGAAGCTGGGTGTGAG